TGGGTGGCCGTGCACCTTTGAGTAGCGGGGCGAATGCGAATGGCCATTCAGCGCCGCCGCTGCCGCTGCTGCGGCTTTGCGATTGTACATAGGAGACCCCGCGGTGGGTGTTTCCGGTGGTGAAGTAGGCCCCATCCCCGTTCCCGGTCCCGTCGCTGCTACGTGAGCAGTGCTGGTGTCTAGGGAAGGGGTGTGTGGCCGCATGATGGTGTATGTCGGCGTCTCGTGGGAGTGCTCCCGCCCGAGAAATTGAGTCTTGGGAGATCTTATCCGATGCGATTGACGTTTAATCTGACAATCAATGTGGGGTAGAATTCGCGGGGGAGATAAGGCGAACGAGGGACTTTTTAAGGTGTCAGCACCCAGAGCAAAAGCCTCCAACGCGGAGACGTTATTGGACTCCGGTAACTTGTCATGTTAATCTCTTAGGAGTTATGGTAGGTCGGGAGGGCCGGGACACCGCTGCAATTCCTCTCCACAAAGGCGATGGGGGATAGGAACCGTCTCGCGGAGGTAGGATACGACGTTATGCTGTGGTGTGACTTTCAAGATCGAGAAAAAGAGAGCCACGTCAAGAATCACCTACGTAGGTTTCCTATCCGTGTGGAATCGCTGTATAGTCTTTCTCTCTCTCTGAAACGGTATGACTTCAAATCGCCAAATAGTGAGATGAGATTAAATATGGATTTAAATAAAGCACCACCCAGAGAGATGAAGTGAAAATATTATTCTCTCGGTAGAATTGCACGAAATTTCTGTGCAGTGCAGTGCGCAAAAACCCTCTTCGACTTGTGGATCTTCCAAGAGAATCGGTCGCCTGGGTCGGCGGGTTGAAAAACCCAGGTGAAAAAGGGATATGAAAACAGTTTAGGTTGGAAGAACTTATTTACTCCGGAAGAGGAGAAAAGATACAACAATAGCGTATGTTTTGCTGGCCGAGCTTATTGCGTACATGTATGAGAGAAGAAATCTCATATGTGCAGACACCGAGAGGGGGAAAGCGTACGTACTTGGGGGCGGGAGTTCCAACAGTCTTATAGGGCCCTGGCAAATATAGAAGCCTGCTCTACTATTCATCCATGTAATAATAAAGACTGCGAGCACAAAGGGTCGAGGGTATACCAGAGCAGGCTAAGAGTGCGTGTTCTGAGCAACAGAGCAGAGAAAACGGGTCTAGCTATTCGTCTACCAGCCTATGGTGGAGGACTTCGCAGAACTCTGCGGCTTGGGCACCAATGCTCCCAGGACTCCCTGGCTACTTTTCACGCGAGGCATGGCGTGTCCAGAGAAAATGCGACATGTATTCAACGGACGGCATGAGGCATATTATATATAAGTAAAGGGGGAGAGCAGCCGCAATATGACTCCGGGAGAGACAGCGAACTGGCTGACTGACTGATGTTGTGACAGGACACAAGAGTTTGGCAGACATTGACTTGGCTTGACTTGAGCGACCGGCCCTCTAAGACCCTGGACACTGACCGAAAACAAAAAGGATTCGCTCGCAAGACACGACACCCACTTACACACTCTCTCTATTCTACTTGGTATGTATGTACCAACAAGACTGGTTATAAGGGCATTCATAGTCCTCTTGGGTAGCAGGCTTTTTGCCAGAGGAACGTATCAGGGCTTCGACCTAGGGAACACGGGTGGTGTTGTACGAGGGAAGATCAGAAATACCCAGGGTAGACAAGGGGGTCAGGTAGCAGTACTCATGCCACTCGTGCCCAATGATTTGAACGAGGACTACCTGCGGGTTGGAGGAGGAAGAAAAGAGACGCAGGCGTAGTGGAGATAGGAAAAATTCACTGCTTGGCTGTTGATGAGGTCAGTCAGGTCAGCCAGGGATACCCCGAGTCTGCAGGACTGCAAGTAATATAATGCCCCCCCCGTTGCCGCAGTTCTAGTGTATGATGCGTGATGCTGTTGTCAGGTGGCGAGGCGGCAATGCGGTGACCTGGCTTAAAGGATTGAAACTGTTCTTTCCCATTGCCGCAGCGTTAGATGAGATAACGCCGTGCCTACGTTGGTCAATCGCTGCAGCTCATAGCTCAAGGACTTGCCTACTTGGGCAGAAGGGGGAAGAAGGCCGGCGGGATTGGGAAAACCAGAAGAGCATTTCAGGGATCTGCACTATATTGTAGATATAAGGCGAATTCATCCGAAATTCAAGCCATCGAGATAGCTCAAGTTTGGCTGATGTTGAAGACAAGGGACTTGTCTAGTCTAGACTCTAGAAAGGTCTCCAAGCCTGTGACGTGCAGGAAGGGAAAAGCCGTCTGGCCGGTCTCGAATCAAACACAGCCCGGGCGTATCTGATCATGAGATGGCAGCCAGGAAAGTAGAAGAATGGCAATATTCATGCAGGCCACGATGTGCCTTGCCTATAAAAGATAGCGGTGAGGATCCATAAATCAATTGATGGAGTATGATCAGTGATTGGTGATAGAAGCTAAGCCACGTTGCCAGTGGGGGATCGTGGCTTGATTGTTTAACTGCACCTGGGCAACGCACAAGAAGGTGGGGTCGTGTTACACTGTCACGGTTCATTGAGATCGATCACCAAAGTCGCGTATGTCGTGTCTGTCTCATAATACAAGTCTTCATGCATGCAGGAGATAACGCTGTAGATTTTTCCACTTCCCAGACCGCCACTACTCGCTATTCGATGAACGCGCTCTCCCATCATGTCGCTCCTCTCCGCGCATTTTGAGCAGATTGCCATATCATGCCAGGGCATCGATAGCCTGCCGTACGTATATACTTCTATGGATAGTAGGTATCATATGTACAAATGCTAAGTAACATGTGAAAAAGCTTTCCACCGCCAAAGATCTTCACCAATGCCCTCCTCGCCAATGACGACATCACATCGTTGATTCGCGATACTGAAGCCCACGAACGCGCGCTTTTCTCCGTCCCGCCCCCGCCACCACCTTCTACTTCCCAGAACCCCGATCCTGCCACACAGAGCTCGCGCAGGCAGACGGTATTCAATGTCGCCTCTGGCGAGGTCACCACGTCTGGAAGCAACACGGGGCGTAATGCAGGCGGAACACGACGGCACACTGCGGTTGCGGCTGTGCTAGGCGGGGACCTGCACGAGCAGATCCGCCGCAGCGAGAGACGCAATGGCAAAGATGACGTCGACGTCGAGATTCTCCTGAGGGGTGCCGAGAAGCTATGCGGTGTCTACCCCTTGCCCGGAGCGTTGGATCGAATAGCGGCACAACGCTCAAAGTACGCGCACAGCCGAAACACCATGGCATACTACGAAGCAAAAGTGGCTGAGCAAGCCGAGGCTCTAGGCAGGATGAACAAGGACCACTGGATGGATGAGGACGAAGAGGAAGAAAACGAGGACGCAAATACCGAGCAGGGCAGGGAAGAAGTCCTGACAGAGGAAGATCTGAGAAGAGAGGAAGAGGAGGTGCGAGAACTCGATAAGAAGAAGAGGGAGCTGCAGGAGAGACTGAAGGCGATGGAGAAAGACCTCGGTGGTTTGTTGAACATGTAATAGGAAGTACTAAATAATCCCTTTAGACTATGATACCCCCACCCAATCCAACGCGATTAAGTAAACGCCATCTATCAGCCCTTCTCAAGCGATGATCCCGCACGAAGAGACCCTGCGCCAACCTATTTCTCCTCCTTGGCTCTCGCGAACACTTCTAAAAAGGCTTGGGGATCTTGCGCGCCGTCCACATCGTATTTGCCCTGTATCGTGAAGTGCGGCACACCATGGATGCCCTTAGCGTATGCCTCATCGACCTCCTTATCGACCTCCTTACCACCTTTGCCCGTCTCAAGCCAGTCCTTGACCTCGTCCTTATCCAAGCCGGCCTTCTCGGCAGCGGCGAGGAGCGTGTCGTGAGAGGTGATATCGCCGTCGGCCTCGAAGTAGCTCTTGAACAGCTCGAGTACGACGCGGTTCTCGGTGTCGGGGCCCTTGGTCTTGCCCAGCTGGATGAGGCGGTGCGAGTCGCGGGTGTTGCCGATCTTGCCGTTGAACCCGAAGGCGATGCCCTCCTCGCGCCCCATCAGCGTCAGTCGCTGCTGCATTGCCGCCAGTCGGTCCGGTCCGAATCGCTGTACCATTCGCTCCGTGACGGGCACACCGACCTTCGGCGACGTCGGGTCCAGGTAGAATGGCGCCCAGCTCACCGTGAAGGTATCGTCTTTGGCGCCGGGGTACACCTTGCGGTACAGGTCGATGGCTTTGTCCAGGCGTTTCTTGCCGATATAGCACTACTCTTATTAGTGTTATTAGGCACAATCATGAGGTCTGGGACTCCACAGGACTGACCCATGGGCAGACGGTGTCTGACACGATCTTGATGTTGATATTGGTCATTGTGCGCAAGTCTTGCTAGGATGGAGCAATGTCTAGGTTGAGCTGGAGGAATTTCGGCTTCTACGAACTTCGCAAATGGGATATCGTATCTAGGTTGAGATGATCGACTATTTCAATGTTATTTCACTTCCGGGCAGACTGCTGAGACATTATGCCGGACTATGGCGGTTATTGTCGCAGGTGGCTGACAAATCCATTGCCGAGGCCGATGCGGTGTCGTTTTTGCTCCGCGTGCCGTGACTAGTGAGGCGCCGACTAGCTTCATACAGACCATAGCCTATAGGCCTACGTAAGTGTGTGTCAATAAAGAATTTGATAACCTCAGCAAATGTCTGCCTTTACTTGCACAAATACAGCACCGGTGCCTGTTTCTGAATAATGACAGACCGAGACTTAGATTTCAGGGCTCGGTGTGCTGGCGTCCCCGCATCTACAGTTGGTCTCTGAGATATTAGTCGTCTTCCAGATTGCTTCCACGCAGCACCCGCTACGAGTTCGAACATCGTGGTAATAAACGCGCCTCTCGCCAATAGATGCACCAAAGACAGAAATATTACAATTCGAAGATGTCACTATGAACATAAGGTAACTCTGGCACGGACTAAAAAGCGCAACAATCTTCATAGCAGCTCCTACTTCCAGATGATCGAACCCAGGCTCGAACTGGGGACCTTCAGTGTGTTAGACTGACGTGATAACCTACTACACCATCCGACCGTTTATGAGCTAGAAAGATTATGGCGAATTGATCTATTCTGTGAAGATCGTGGCCGCAAAAGGGATCCTGTCAGATGAAAAGCGTCTGGGTGTGGGGAGCGAGAGTGGCCTCATCAGGAAGGGTCCCTCCCTTGGTAGGGCTACAAACAATTTATTATTGTTGGCTTCCGCTTCTAGAATTCCTTGATAGGACTCAATGCTAACTGGTACATTTCATTAGGGAATATAACTACCTAGGTACCTTTATAGTCCCTCAGAAGTCTAATACCAGATGGGTACTTCAACCGTGATATACTTCGTCTTAGATATCGTGTGTAACTTGTTATTTGGCGTCGAGTTTTGTTTGCGTCATAATATGCAAATACTTCCCAATCACATGTTTGGTGTGAGCATCGCCACAAGTAATACATTATATAATTGATTTGCCTAAATATAATAATAACCTGAATGCCTCGCAAAGAAGACCGCGCAGGATTGTGTCTACCTACTTGGAATACTGGGTGCTTATGGTCGACTCGGTCGCGGACTCGCGGCGTACCAATCGGTCATGATGTCAAACCAGAATTTCACGTGCGAGCATTGATGGGTGCCTCATGGCGTAGATCTCCGGTATCAATAGGTAACTTACAAGATGTAAAGATGGCTGTGCCCCTACAGGCTACCATTCGTACTCCCCGGATCTCGCAACCAATGCGCTCGGCTGTGGCAATGACCTGCTGTCCACCTACGTAACAAGGCGGCATAGCTACCCAACCAAAGGCAGTCCTGAGGTTATCGCAGGATGACATATAACGTAAGGATAATGCATTTCGGAAAGGGGTAGTCGTCTCTCATTTTCAGACCACCACGAGCGGGTCACATTTGCAATCACAAGACTCATCCCTATAGAACTGCAAGCGCCCCAAACATGTCTCAAACCTACCATCTAGACTTCGAGCGTCACGTCTTCCACGCCGACGCCCTGGCGATCCGGCCCATCGCGCCCGAAAACGCCACCTCCCCCGCCCCCGCTCCAGCAGGCCCACTCGTGCTCTACGCAGACGTGCACCGGGGGCACCTCGTGTTCCAGCGCCAGCCCATACCCGTCCCCAAGAGCGAGCGCATAGCCAAAGCCACCTACCCAGCAGACGCCGCAGACATCCACATCGCAGTAGCAGCCGCGGGCCCCAGCGTCAAGCTCACGCACTCGCACGTGCTCTTCGACAACGCAAGTGCTGCAGCGGGAGCGGGAGCGGGTGCGGCGCCCCCAGAGCTGCAGCGCACGCGCGAGAACCCGCGGCCAAAGCGCAGTTTCTGGCGGCGCCGCGTCAAGGACGGGTCCCGCGGGTGCTACGTGGCGACGCTGCCGGACGGCCCGCGTGTGCGGCGGGAGCCTGCGGGCCCCGCGGAGGAGGATGCGGACGCTGGGGCGGTGGCTCAAGCTAAAGCGGAAGCTGGGGTGATGAATCGCGCCGCGAACTTGCGCCCCAAGATGCGGTGCGTGCTGGTCGATGCGCTGGGGCTGAGCACGGAGGTGCTGGGCGAGATGATGCGGAGCAACGACGTGGTGCGGCTGGCGCGGGGCGGCGGACTGCTCGGCGCTGAGGGCGTGCTGGGCGTGTATGTCCTGCTGGGGTTCGTGAGCTTGTATGAGCGCGCTAGGGCTAGGAATAGGAGGAGGGCGGAGCTGGAGGTTGAGGTGAGGTCCCTGTTTTTTCTTTTCGTGTCGAGTCGAAGGTAACTGTGCACGTGAATATAGCTTGCATGGTTGCTTTGCGAGTTTGGCTCAAAACGGTCATGTTGCGATTCCTATTGACTTTTACTTGCGTAGGTCGACTTCACGTTTGATGGTGACGGTGGCGCTGGAGCGGGAGACGGGGGAGGAGGAGATGGCGGTGGTGGAGGGGGCGGAGGGGGAGACTGAGCTTGATATTAATACTGGGTAGAGGCAAAAATCATGTATTACTTGGTCGTCTTGAATATCCAACGTACCTAAGGTAGGTGGTTTTTCAAGTGTTCGATCTATGCACCTGACGACCAAGTCCCCACTATCCTTTCCACCCCCTTTTCCGCTGCGACCATCACGCCGAACTGCGGGTTTACCGTCAGCGGCGAGATGATTGACGCATCGACGACGTGTATATTCTTAGTGCCGATGACTTTCGTGTCCGCATCTACGCACTTCCCTATCCTACACGAACTAGACCAATGCTGAACCGCTCCCACGGCATACTCGGAGGGTGTGGTGATGTAAGCCCGGATATCTTCAACGGTCGAGTTCCGGGGGATGTTGAGTGGAGTAAGTCCCTCTGCCGCGGGTGACTCGGGCGTCGAAGGCGGTAGGGCTTGGAAGATGGAGTGGATGAATCTCGCAATGTTCTCCGCGTCGCGGGGGTCGCTGTAGTAGACGTCGGAGCTAGGACCAGGCGTGAAGCTACCGTCGTTCGATAGGATGACACGTCCAGCTGATCCCAGGCCAGATGTCCCGTAGATGTTGAGTGTAATCGTGTTGTTGTCGACGTACTTCCCGTGTCCGGATGAGTCGATCGTGCCTTGAACTCCAGTCTTAGTGCCGTCGGGATTAGGGACGTAACCCCAGAACGCAGAAGTCTGAGACGCAAAAGCATAAGGACCACTTCGGGAAGACAGATATAGGTCTATATCCGAGGTACTGACACCGTTGTATAATTGGATGTATGATTCGACTATTGATCCGGATAGTTCGATGTAGGTGTTCGGGTTATCAAAGAGACCTTCTCCGACTGATGGGTTGACGATCCAGTTTAAAGAGTTGGAAGAGTTAGAAGGTATCAAACCAGCTTCGGATAATTCTGTGAGCGTCTCTAGTGGACCAATCCCAGAGTGCATCAGAAGACCAGGCGAAGCGATGGCACCAGCACTCAGAACAACTCGACCACCGAGAGACAGAGCAATCTTCACCACTGAACCACTGATAATAGCAGTGATTCCGGAGGCTAGGCCACCGATATGGTCAATACTTTTGACGCGGACACCGGTTTCAAGGCGGAAGTTATTTCTCCTCAGAGCGTCTTGTAAGTACGTCCTTGCTGGGCCCCCTCGTTGTCCAACATGGCTGTTCTTCGCGCCCTTTCCATAACGAGCAGGACTTTCGTATTCGCCGGTAATGTTGATGTTACTACCCTCGTCGGGTCGGCCAATTATCGCACTGTCACCGCTAGTGTATCGTTCACCAACATAATTATAGACTGGTCGGCCGAAGACCATGTCCTTGTTGTCCGGTTCTTCATTGAAAGAAACATCGGAAAACCCAGCTGCATCAACGAGCCAGGCCCTTGCTTCCTCGTAGCCAGATTGCATGTAGAATTTGCCATCCGCCGAGTATCTAGTTACCGAAGGCTGTAGTCTGAGGAGTCTCTGTGTCGCCCCCTCGACATCTATGCTCTTCCACCCTTCCGGGTGGTAGTCGTCCCAGTCAGAAGCCGGAGGCTGGAAGTACAGGCCGGCATTGATTGCACTGTTTCCACCGATGGTACATGCCTGGAAGGCATTTACGATGTCCGAAGGACACAACAAATCCGTGCCTCCATTGAAAATGCTCTTGTCTTCGCAATTTGGTTAACTCAATTTCAATGTACTGCTCACATAAAACTCACACAGCCCAGGTACGTCAACCCGGCTCAGTGAAGTTCCAGTAAGCCAATCGGGCTTCTCCGTCCCTCCTGTAATTCCGTACGAAGGACCACCAAGTTCGACGAGAAGTGTCTTTTTCCCGGCTTCACTCAACCTGGTCGCTACGATGATTCCGGCAGTTCCAGCCCCAACAACGATCGCGTCCCATTTCTGCGCGGTCCAGCTTGTCTGGTTCTGTCGTCTCTCGAATGGAGGTGTGCTTAGTGCGGGTTGGCTAAGGAAGCCGGCGATCGCGACTAAAGTCCAGAGCGACCTCATCTTAACGCACTTGAACGCAACACATGGCTAGAGGGGGGCATAAGAGAAAGAGAGTCGCTGGACGACGCCATGATATATAAACACAGCACGCGCAAGATATGACCAGAAAGCCTATTTGCGTCCCATGTCGCCGGGACCCGACAGAATACCCTTGCCTGGTTCGTCTCAATATCGTACTCAGCTCGCCGATCCTACTAACACTGTGTAATCATCGGGAATGGACACATGCAGTCAGCACAGCATCGAATTTAGCGATGGATGTTCTATGAAGCATTGCAAATCAGTTTGTTCAGCGTCCAGGAAAGGTGTATGGGTTCGAATTCCTAGCTTACTGCTGTAATACCTTATGCTGACGGTCATACTCTCATACCAGGACCCTCCGATTTCGTATCGTCATGCAGCTTGCCACTCGGAGTTGCGCACACCAAGGTGATCCTTGGCACTGCAGCCACTGGCATCATATACCCCCTTCTGCAAGTGGAGCGTCCAGCGGAAGACTCAAGTACATGTACAACGCGGACTATCAGGTTAGAACTTAGGGGGTATAGACAGGCACCCAGGCTAGAGTGACCGTGAGAGATGTGTCAGCTTGACGACACTAACGAAGAGCATTGCCGGAGGGGAGAGGCCATCCGTCGTTTCGTTGGATATCCTTTCATCTGCCTACCAGCTGGGCAGGTATTAGCATCACAGACTTTCGTCGTGGTCATACGACATTCTGATGTATTTCCTAAGTACCAAAGCAAGGAGATTGATAGAACCATGGAGATAGTGCTTAGCTATATGCAGCCATCAGGTAAGGGTCAGTCCCAGCTCCTTAGCAATGATATCTGCCCCTTTCTCTCCTATAACCATAGCCGTATTACAGGTATTCCCACCAACGTTCTCCGGCGCGATGCTCAGGTCCACAACCTTCAGCCCCTTGACTCCATGCACGTTGAGGTCCTTATCTACGACGCCCATTTCGCTCCTCGGCGCCATCTTGGCCGTGCCTAGGGAATGCCACGCTGTCTGGAGGTTCTCGCGGATGTACTTCTCTATCGCCGCGTCGTCCTCTGGGGTGTACTCGAGGTTGCGCACTTCGCCGTCTT